CGGGGGGCGGAGGGGGGACGCGGGGGGCGGAGGGGGGGGGGTTCGCCCAGTCTTGCAGGGCTGCTTGGGAGGCAGCCACAGTGACCCACGGCTTCTTCCCCCGGGTGCAAGGGCTCCTCCGATATGGGCCTGCGGGGTGGGCTTCTAGGACGGGTTGAGAGGGGATGGAGGAGGCGCAGTGGGAGGGGTCTCTTTCGGGGCAGCAGGAGGCCCTGGCGGGGGCTGGACTCACACCTTGCACCAAGCTATCGGGGGGCTTTTGGGATCGGGCTTTGTGTGATCTTACACAATTGTGGTTTATAAAGCACAGTGGTTAATATGGCTTAGCAAGCTGGGTGAACCCAGCCCGTTGTGGCATATTCAATAAACCATAGTTTAACAGACTGTGGTTTAAAGTAGTGAGTGAATTGAGCCCCCAGCCTGGTTCACGCAACAGCGAGCCTGAGCGTCAGACACTGCAGTTCTTAATTCCCAATGAAAAGAAACCTTCTCTGGAAACTCAGCAAGTCCAAAAGAAATTCAGTTTATTGAGGGTCAACATACAGTCCGTAGTAGAAATTGCTGAAACTGAAAAGCCTGCGCATAGCAATGCTTTAACTCTTTTTCCTTTCCCCCCTTCCCCCCCTCATTCCTTCTGGCGCCTTTTGCTGCCCTCGCGCTGGTACGACCTTGGCATTCCTGAACAACAGCCCATCTGCCCTAACCGTTATTCACCTAACTGCCCCCCCCCACTACAATCATGGCGGAACTGAGCGAGCGAGCAAGCGAGCAGTTACAATACAAGTTAATTAATTGCGAGGTTCTGACATTGAGCAGGCAGCCTGTTTCGGATGGAAACCTTTGGGATGTTACGTGCCGGTGGCCGACGCGCTCCCAAAGGGCAGCCAGGGCGGGCACGGCCTCACAAACCTCCCGCCTGCTAGGGGCTGGACTCGCTGGCCAAGAAGCTGCCTTGCGGGGCTTGATAAGTGCAGCGCTAGAAGCTGGTGGGCTGCAACGCGTTACTTCTACGAGAGGGCCTCTTCAAACGTCCGAGGAGGCAGGGAGCCTGGTGGGCCTCAAAGGAGCGGTCTTGGGGTCTGCTGGACCGCCTGCCGCCGCCCCCCGAGCCAAAGGGGGGGGCTTGCTTTGGATTTGGCCTGCTGTCTGCATCCAGCCAATCCTGCTTTGCACAATAAGCCAACAGAGTCGGGGTGCTGCATTCAGTGAGCCTTGGGTGCGGAATCAGTGACTGTGTTTCCCCCGCGGACTTTTGAAAGAGCACTTCGTCCCGAATGGCGTTGTATCCTTGTACGTGTTGCCTGTTGCTTCACTATCGGGTTCTAAGTTCAGGTGACCAACTTGTGGAACAAGCAAGTCTAGAATAAATCACAAAATAAGGGGAGGGATGACGGAGGAAGGCTGGCAGCCTGGCGTCCCTGCTGTGCCCCTGGCGAGAGGAGAACTCTGCGTCTGGAGCACCTGGGTGCAGAGAAGGATGAGAGGCTGCCGGGGTCGTGCAGTAAACGCACGGCGGCTCAGGACCCCTCCCCAGCCCCCAACCCTTGGGGCTCTGACGACCAGGAAGCCGGCTGAGACACGGGTGCCAGGGCGCCCAGAGCTTAGTTGGCGTCTTCCCCGGTTCCTCAGAGCAGCGCCCCAGCTTAGCAGAAGAAGAGAAGCCATCTGGCCTGACTTTGGGGAAAGGGCATGACTGGGCAGAGCCAAGGCTGGGGGGGACCTGGCTGGGACCCACGGAAAAGAGAGGGGAAATGCTGGGGAAGTGGGGATCAGGAAGAGGGGAAGGGAGGCTCGTGGAAGGGAGTGGAGGCAGAGGGGTCACGGCCCGCTTCCTTAGCGCTACCAAAGGCCATGAAACGCATCAGGTACCGTTAAACGAGGGGCCGCTTCACCCTGCAGCACCCTCTGCTGTGTTTACGGAGCAGCACTCTCTGCTCTCGTGCAGACGGTAACCGACGGCCAAGCTGCACCGTGCCAGAGATGTTAGTCCGTCTTCTTTTGCCACATGGGAGGAAAAAGCAAAGTACAGCGCAGTGGCTTTGAAAAAGGGGAGCCTCCTGGCTTCCTCGCAGAGGCGCTTCCAGGCCAGGGCTGCAGCATCCTCTGTTGATCACCTGGAAGAAGAACGAGGCTGCTGTAAATGGCACAGCTTCTCCTGGCCCTGTTAGAGATTGGGGACTCGTTTTGACGTTATTTCTTTGTTTCTTTGATTTATTCCTTGTATTTATCGGGAACACGGGCCTCTCTTCGGGGGGGGCACGTTCCAGCCTTGTGATTTAGAACAAAGAAGGGTCCGACCCCACCCCCAAGCAGGTGCTTCATTCGCTGCTTTGCACTTCAAGCCCATTTCAGCTTGTTCCACATTTTCCTTATTGAAAGCTCGAAGAATTACCTAAAACTATTGGCTTTCTACCATGACAGGAATCATGTCCTTAGATATCCTGCTCCAGAAGTTTCCTGCGGCTGGGTCATAAGAGCCACCCGGTGCCCCTGGGCACCTGTGGCTTCTGGGTTTCCTGAGATTTTGGAGGATCTGAGTGTTTTACTGGGGTTTGTGAAGATGGAGCCCACCAGAGGTTCTGGACCATCTTCCTGCCACAGACAGGCACACACCTTTCCCGGCTGGAAATCCTCTAGGCGGCACCATTTTTTGCATTTAATAACTTCATGGAGGAAGGGCAGATCAAGCTTTGTGCAAAAGGCTTTCACAGGCGGAGACTCTTGGCTTCCTCTTCCCCCTCTTCTTTTGACAGGAGATCCAGACCCTGCCAGAGATCTCTGGGCTGCATGTGGCCCCAGAAATCTTTGGGCGCATCCTCCAGGCCTCCAGAAGTTACTACCACATTGTAATGTTGGATGGGGCAGAAGGAGAAAATTGTTAAATGCATGGCTGGCAGTTGATCATTTAACTACCTTCAAAGAGAAATGAAATGAAATGAAACGAAACTACTTTTGGGAGTGTGGCCCCTGCACCATGCTCAAAAACCAAGTCTGCTCACTGTTCTTGGTCTAGGGAAAATAGGCCAGATACTCAACTCCTCCGAAGGTTTTAGATCAGCTTTCTCCAGCATCAGGCTTCCCTTGGTCAGCTTGGCTCGAAATTGCAGAAATAGATTTCCAAGGAGTCTGAGGCTCTGAGAAGTAGATGGACTGCAGCAAAGTTAACGAAGCCCTTATGGAAGACTGCAGTGACTGCTGTGTATCAAACACGAGCCCTATTTAAAGGGAAATCAAGGTTCGAAATCTTGCCCCTCTTTCTTCTGCCTGCACAGTGTGTAACAGGCTGGGGGGGGTCGTTCCCACCCGCCTCTTGTTTTGGTTTCAGGCTGTTGGCCAGCAACCTCGACTGGAGCATACCTGACCTGGTCCCCACATGGCACTACCCATGGCTTATTGAATAAATCACAATAAATGGCTTTTTGAATAAATCACAAGTGCCCAGCTGGCTAGGTACGCATAGCACAGTAAGCCACAGACAAGCAGATCATCTACCAGCTTCCTGCGTCACGTGCCGCCAGCTAGTGACAACTCGGCCAGACATTGTCCTCTACTCATGTTCCTCATGGAGCCCTTCAAAATGTCAACGTGATGATTGATGCTGGACTCAGGCAGCAGGCTTTGCAGGACTCCCAGCCCTCCCAGGACAGCTCTTGAAAGGGCAGCGTGTGTGTGCCCACGTGTGTCTGATGGAAAGAGGGCCGTGACGTTGCCCTGGGGTGCAAAACCAAAGGACAGGAGTCCTGGCTTCTGCCACGTCCAGCAGGCTGAGCCTGTGGGGGTCTGAACTCCCGGGGGAGCTTCGGGCCCTGCCTTTAGCCTGTTCTGAAATCGCGTCTTCCAGATTCTGGTCTGGGAACAGTTGTGGTCTGGTCCTGTCCTCGCTTTAGAGCCCGTGGGATGTTGCGCAAGCTTTCTTTCTCTTCTGCGGCCGGCTGGGCGAGCATGAACGAGGTTGAAGAGTTCGGTCTAGCATGTTGTGTGAAGCCAAACAAGTAGGGTGGCTTCTCATCCACCACTGAGGAAAGATGTTTGTCTGTGGGGCAGCTGATCCCCACAAATGTGAACTTGGCTCTCTCTGCTTGCAACCCCCCCCCCCCCGCCCCCCAGCTGCCCTGGCCATCCGTGGACCAATCCCTGCTGCTGGCAATAAATAAAACGTTACATATGAGCAGGAATGTTTTACACGTGCCTTCAGCATTTTGTTTAATGCCTGCCTGAGAGGTCCCGGTAGAGGACTGCGTGATGCGGTTCCCAGCTCAGGCTGAGCAGGGCTTTGTTCAATCAAGGTTACTTAAGGGAGGAAATGTGGCTGGGTTCACTCCGCGTGGAAAGCCCAAGGCCACCTGTGCAAGGGAAGGGACTGGCCCAAGGGGTCCGGGGGGAGGGGGATGGTGGCGGGGAGGCCAAAGGAGACCCTTGGGGACTCGCACTGAGAGCTGCCTCTCCTCTTCCCTGACCAGAATGCCCCCTGACCATGGGTGCCCAG